AGAAAGAAAGAAAGAAAGAAAGAAAGAAAGAAAGAAAGAAAGAAAGAAAGAAAGAAAGAAAGAAAGAAAAGCAATATTAGAAAACTAGGTTCAAACTGGGACTGTGAAGAGCTGTTTTAAGCAGAATTAAAATGTTTTTGACATTTTTGTGGACATGTGACTTTGAGCCAGTATTGACTCCTGGTGATTCCTTTGGCAAGTCCCTGCCGTTTACTTGGTAAGGTTTTTTAGAAGTGGGTTGCTATTATCTCTTTCCTAGAGAATGACTAGCTCAAGATTACCCAGCTAGCTTCATGCCTAAGGCAGGACTAGAACTCCCAGTCTCTCTATTTCTAACTTAGTATCCCAACCATTACACCAAACCGGCTCTCATTTTTGACATTACCAAATATAAAAAGAGAGAGCAAAACTGTTTGTGCTGTCATCCCATGGATCTCTTCCTTTTGCACGCTTCTCTTAAGGAAAAAAAACAAACAGTGCCAGGGACATATCTGCTATAAACCAATCATTTGACTGCAAGTGCAACAAGTAAGGCTACAATAACAGATGATGCCTCTATTTATGGTCTATTTTCCTTCACAGAGCTCAAGATAGTATACATAGAATTCAGAGCAATCTCAAAGTGAGGCCCCCTTAATATCAGCAAATTTGATGTATCACATACCCTAAGATATACTCTTGGACCAAAGTTATTCATTAGGAGTGATGGCCCCCATAAGGGAATCAAAGATTACCATTGTTCTATAAGGAAATGCCTTTTTTAAGTTATCTGCTGTCTCACACATGATTTTGTGTAAAGCATAGATCAGATTTGCCTGTGCTGAATGTCTGGAGGTGAGAGGGGTAGATTACCTGTCTCTCGGTTCTCGCTATAATCACCACATTATCACTAACATTGCCAGTGGAAACATTTTGCAAGCACACCCATATCCACAGACCAGTTCCAAACCCACCTAGGAGTTACCTCAATTCTTTTTTCATACTTGTCCCCTTGGATGAGACGATGGACGTAGATTTTGGGGACATGGATATCTTCGGGGGCAAAGGACCCTACATCAACAATTTCTTCTACCTGGAATGATAGGAAAATAGGAAAGATAAAGACAGAATTTAGTGCAGCATACCACATAATTTCAACAAGAATAAGGAGACTGCAGTTTTCCCTTATACAGCCCCCTTTTCCAGATGTGCTAGTACTATGTCCAGAAATATTAGCACACATAGTCCAAAGCTGTGCTTGCTGTGAATTATGGGAGTTGTCATCCCAATACAACAAAAGACAGTAATTTGAAGACAATTTCTTCAGATAAACCGAACTCATGAAAGTAGAAAATATTTTCAAAACATCACTTAAGCACATGTCAATGAATTACTGCCTAAATGCAGTCTTCCCCAATACTAATTACTTGTTATGGCCCATTTACTGCTGAGATCTCTACCATTTATTCCTAATAAACATACGGATGCAAATGGTTACATATGGTCTCAGATGAGCAGAGGTAGAGACAAAAAAACAGAATGAAGGTCAGTGAAAAAACAAATGTGCAGTTATCAATTTGACAGACACAACCCCCCCCCCAAATAATATTTTTTTCCATTCTGCCTTTAGCTACTAATGACCACTACACAACAGAAAACCAAAGCAGAAAAGGAAGTCAATGAATGTTATTATTCTCAAAAATCATCAATTCCTCATTCCCTCAAGCCAAAGGTCTGAAAAAGGAAAGATAATTGAACAAAACAGGACAAAAACCAGATAATTTTTAACCACCGAACGTATCTAATAAGTGTACAGCATTAACTACTGCAATCCACTCTATGACCTGGAATTCCTGGATTAAAATCTGTGTTTCTGGCCAGAGAATTGCATTGTTCCCAGGAAGCACCTGTTCCCAGTAAACCCAGTGAACACCTGTTTCTAGTAAATATCTGTTTAATTTGATAACTTAGTATCATCAAGTCATAATTCATGTCATTCATTCTGTGAGTGCCCCCATAAAATGTCTATGGAGATTCTCAGTCATCCAGGTCTTGGTTGTCCCAAAGGTGCTTTTTTTCAGGAGGCAACTGGACTTTCTGGTTTTTCTTTGAAGACATTTCACTTCTCCTCCAAGAAGCTTCTTCAGCTCTAAGACTATAGTAGGGAATGAAAGGATTTATATTTCTTGCAGAGAGCTCCTCAAAACTCTCTAAAACAATGCAAATAACCAGCTGTTTGCGAGGAATATAAATCCTTCCATTCCTCACCATCCAGTCAGAGCTGAAGAAGCTTCTTAGATGAGAGTTGCCTCATGAAAAAAAGCACCTTTGCCCCCCTCCCCCCCATAAAATACTCTTGACAGGCCTAATATGCCACCATCCCAAAATATTTCCATATAGAGCTGGATAAGAAGACACAGGCTTAATAATAAATCACCCTTTCCTAACCAAGTGGTCTCAATTCTATAGAGCATACAAGTCCCAGAACAGACTTTTTTACTCCTAACACATATGCAAACAAGTTGGTGAAGTCTGTACTAAATCATATGAAAACATTATGAAAAAGATTGTAGATTTTCTCCAGATTTACACATTCTGCAATTATTTAACCTACCCTCTCTTACTTTTTATATTTTTTTTACTATTATTAGATCTGACTGACTGGATGTGGTACTTTTGATTAGTAGAGACTTGTCAGAGATCTAGGATAGCTAACTATATTATAGCAATGTGGCACCATTCAATTATATCATTGTTGAGTTGACATTCTATCCATTTGTATTGTGTTCAGCTGTTTTTGGTAGGCACCAAATGCACCAACCACACTTGGCACCAATACTATTTTCTTTTTCCCCATTCATTCTACTTAAAGATCTTTATATTTCATAAATAACTCAAAGTTGCAAACATATCTAGTATGTTTTTCTCTTCCTATTTTCCTCACAACGACAACCCTCTGAGGTAAGTTGGGCTGAGAGTGTGTGACTGGCCCAAAGTTTCCCAGCTGGCACTCATGCCAAGGCAAGACTAAATCTCACAGTCTCCTGGTTTCATAGGTCAGTTGCATCACCATTAGATCCAACCTGATCTCTTTTCAGGTTCCTTCCCAACTATTTCCCTTCTATTTCCAATGACTACAGCATCAATTATACATGTTTGCTTCTTCATAATTACAATCATGTCTGGCTTATTATGAGTTAAATGTTTATCAGTTTGTATCTGGGGGTTCTTAACCTCTTTATTGTCAACCACTTTTTCAATATTGCGATTCTACCAATTGTTTGCATTATGTTATGACTAGCTCGATACATGTGCTTTGCTATGAAACTATGTTGTCGGCTTAGTTTTTGGGGAGGAAAATAGGGGGGGGGGGGAATTCTGCCTCTGCCTACCAGCATTCAACGGTATTCATCTGGGTAGCGTCCTGTCAGTGTGTGAGAGAGTTGAGGGCTGTTTGGAAGCTGAAGCAGTATTTGCTGTATGAGCAAGAAGGAGACAGCAAGGAGCCTGGGCGTGGCTTAGCTCAATTGTTCTGTACTGAAGCTGCTTGGTGCTGTGAAACTAAAACTGAAACTCCTCTCCTCTGCTTGTGTTTTGCATTTGGAACAGATTTGTTTTCAGGTGGGGGGGGGAGTAGAACTCCTTAGCATCATAGCGTGTTAATAATATATGAAATACTAATGCTCTGATGGTCATTTCGAAAATCCTTTCTTAGTGAGCACCTAGAATCCAAGAGGAACATACCTGCCAAATTTCAAGTTTGTAGGCTTTACGGTTCTGGAGATTTTGTGATGATGTGTGAGTGGTATATCACTTTTATATATATAGATTACGAGATAACTTCCAATGAATAATTTCAATGAATGAAAGTGGCTTCTTTATTGTGTCTTTCCAAATATTCCACCTGTACCATCTTCTTACTTCCATGTACTGGTAGTCCTTGACTTAAGACTGCAGTTGGGACCAGAATTTCCATCAATAAGTCTTGCAGTCATAAGTGCAAGTGTCAGAATTCAGCAAAACAGGTCACAAATCATTATCATATGACTTCAGGATGCTGCAACTACAGTAGTCGTAAATGCAAGCCAGTTGCCAAGCACGCAAATTGCTATCATGCAACCCTGGAAGTTGTGCAAGTACAGGTTCTAAGTCACTTTTTCCAAGGCTGTTGTAACTTTGAACAGTTATTAAATGATCAGTAGTTAGCTGAGGACTTCCTGTCCTGGGGGTTCAAAGGACTCTTTCCCTTTCTCCTTCTACTATTACTTTAAAAGGACTTCGACAAAGTGCCTGCCTCCACCATATCATCATGTAAATGGACCTATACGCTTTCTCAGAAATTTTTTTTAAAAAAATGAGCAGGTAGAACCTAGTGCTTTGAATGGATACTAAAGTGCCTCCGAAAGAAGAAATGTAAGATAGCCAGAGCAACCTATGGACCTAAGTCACTAAGGTTGGAGACCCCTGCTAAGGAGGACAGGGATCTAGAAAGGTGTCAGGAAGCAGAAAATGTGTCTTGTAATTTTTATATGGAGAAATTTTCCCTCTCCTCTGCAGCAGCTTTCATAAGTGCCTGCAATGCGTTTTCAAAATTTCAAACACCTCAAGAAACTTTCAAAGGCTAATACGCCTTAAGTTTATGGAATTGTAATAGCTAGATTCTCACTAACTTAGGAAGGATTTGACAGCGGTTTATCTGATCAATCTTCAATTGGCAATTTCTAGATTCATTGCTGTTTTATCATTTTTGTTATAGTACATTTAATGCATGGTTTCTACAAATGTTTAGAAAAAATAATTGACAATAGGCTGCAATCAATAGGGCACACATAGCAAAGAGATGCACAGAAAATACATCTAAATTGAATGGGATGATTGAATGGGATGTGCTGGCTATTATTATATGAATTAGATGAATTTGTGGACTTCTTTTTAAGTTGTTTCAGGGATCTGAAAAATGTGTTTCCTATATGTTTGTTTGGGAAATAAATTCTTATAATTCTGGAAAATAAGGGAAGCCTGAAACTAAGGAAAACTAAGATTAAATAAACTAATTTGTATAAAAATTGACCCTTTTTTAGAATCTTCAAACATTCATTAAAAGTTATGTAAATACCAATATTTAGGTGAGAAGTGGAACTCATTTAATGCTGCCACACACTGTAATGAGATCCATTGTACTTGGGAGCAGAATAATAATGGAACAGGACAGCTGTTGCTAAGCAACCTGGGATACATTGCAGGATTTTTAATTACATTTATTTAATTAGTTATGGGTGAAAGAATTCTACACTGTGTAGAACCCGCATCCTTAAAATTCATCTTGAATCTGTCAAAAATTAAACAAAATACAGACCTTTGTTTTTCTAGCCTCTTCCACTGTCAAGGAAAAAACACAATTTGCAAAGAACATGAAAAAAGAGAAGACATGGGGAAGGAAAACAGAGTGAAGAGTGAAATGGATGGAGGGAGTAGAGACAGATATGGGGACTGCAATACAAAGTACAAGAAGATTCCTGCTTTAAGACTTCTTCAATCTGTTCCAGGTGCATTGGGCTACAAATCCTGTAAGATCAACACATCTAACAGCTTGGTGAAGGCTGTTCTTAGTATTGTTTTTATTAAATGATACATCTTTCCATGATCAAAGGCAGGAAGTCCTTCCCACTCTGGGACTGGTTGAGACATCAAAAGACCAAGCAAAAAGACCAGGCGGTCTACATTCAACAGCCTTACTTTCTAAGTGATTCTCTGATGCTAAATTTAATAGATGACAAGTTTTTTAATAGATGACAAGTTTTCCTCCCCCATCGAGTTTTTCCTTAAGACTAGCTTTACAATATGATAAGCCTTTTTGATGGAAGCACGTAGTCAATTTTGATTAGGTCCAGAAGCTGAGGAAGTTTGGGCCTGGTAAGCATTTGTATGAGAGATCCCCAGAGAATCTCAGGAGAAAACAACAGACAACCGCCCAGATGTGTCCTATTGCCATCAAGTGTCCAGTTCAACTTGAGGAAATCTTTCCTTTACTTACAAGATTATTTTAGCTATATTGTACTATACACCAGTTAGAACTGTTTCTAGAGAGACAATTATTAAATATATTTATAAAGAAAGAGTTAATAGAAACAGGATCTATGTTCCTACATGCAAAGGGTAAAAGCTTAGGCTTCAAAAAAAGGAGCAATCCTTTTCTTGGAAACACGGATTCAGCTTTTTAGGATTATATAAATGCCTCTGCTAATTCCCTTTCTGCTGCACACAGATAGAGTATCAGCAATTCCCCATTCTCCTGAACTGCTCAGCTTTAAATATATTTAAATATATCTATAAATATACAGATATGTCATGCATCAATTCACCAAGGCCTGTAGGTCTTTCTATACATTTGTCACACGAAAGCAGGGGATACTGCACTCTCACATCTTCATCTCTTCCCAATTTGGCTTAAGGCTGTGCTTGTAAAAGAGGATTTTGATTTTGATGTAAAAACAAAAACAAGGGAAGAGGAGCCAACCAAGTCTGAGGATATTTGGTACGGAAGAAGATGCTGCAAACACAACAATCTCATTCTCTCAGAAAGCTGCAGAATCGGAAGGATGAAACATCTTTATCCCAGGAACCACTGCTGGGGCTGGGAATAACTTTTTTTGCCTTACCTCTACCACTGTTGTTCTGGCAGCTTTACACATAGGCTGATTGAAATTTCTCGCAGTTTTTCTGTTTGAGAAGAAAGAGGGTGATGTATGCTTAATAGAGCTGCAGTTATCATTTTCTATAATGTCAAGAAACATTAGCAGAACAAAATTCAAAGCATAATCAATTCAGAGTTTAAAGGGGATTGGCCTTCAGGTCCAGAAATCCCAACCAAAGCTTCTGTTTGAACATAGACAGTAAAGGGACTTCCCTCTGTCCTTCAGGCATTGATTGCTTACATATAAGCTGAAAAGGTGTGCCCCCATCAAGAACAACAGAGTAGGTTTTAATGGTAAAGTGTTATCCTTGTTTTCACTCTTATCTTCAAGGTTCTCAATTAATCACATTTCCAGATAGTCCTCAACATACTACTGTAATGGAACCCAGATTATCCATCATAAATCATAATGGTCATACTTTGAGGCATCCATGTGACTGGAACCAATTATATGACTTTTGCTGAGATCATTAAGCAAACATTGCAGTCCTTAAGCAAATCAATGTATCCCTCTGACTGTGTTTCATTGAAAACCAGCCGAAAAACTCAAAAAGTTTCCCTTGGGACTGTCCCATTCTCCCATGGTGAGTGCTTAGTGAATAGATTCAACATAGAAAAGAGAGTAAGACAAGGACGTGTGATATCCCTTTGGCTGTATATTTATGAACAAACGCATAAGAAATGTTCGTATCCTGTAGTTGTAGCACAGAGGATGGGTGTACTGCAGTGGTGGGATTCAAATTTTTTTACTACCTGTTCTGTGGGCATGGCTTGGTGGGCGTGGCAGGGGAAGGATACTGTAAAATCTCCAGTCAGAGGTAGTATTTGCTGGATCTCTGAACTACTCAAAATTTCCGCTACCAGTTCTCCAGAACTGGTCAGAACCTGCTGAATACCACCTCTGGTGTACTGTAGTGGTTAAAATATTAGATGAGTGACGCTATTGAGATTCAAGCATGAAAATGGATAAGTCATTCTCTCTGAGCCAAGTTATAGTTGGGATAGAATGAAATCAGATCTTCATGTAAGCCATAAAGCTTCTGGAGAAAAGATGAAACATGAATCTAACAAATAAATAGCAGATAGAAGCATGTTCTCTGCCAGCCATGCCAGGACCACCTCTAATGGTTTCTTAAGATTATAACAATGCAAGATTTTCAATCAATATTACAGCAATCTTGTCAATAGCAGGAATTTGACTAGAAACATCCTGGCCTCTCCCTCACTGTTGATTCTCAGATAGAGAGGCTGGAGAGAGTTAGCTGGAAATGTTCCAATTATGGTTGGTTTACATTAAACATGGATTTGTTTAGAATAGGGCTGGCTGAGGAATTCTGGGAGTTACAGTCCACACATCTTAATAGCAATAGCACTTAAGACTTATATACTGCTTCACAGTGCTTTACAGCCCACTCTAACCAGTTTACAGAATCAACATATTACCCCCCAACAATCTGGACCCTCATTTTACCGACTTCAGAAGGTTTGAGTCGGTGAGAATTGAACTGCTGGCAGTCGGCAGAATTAGCCTACAATACTGCATTCTAAGCACTGCACCACCACGGCTCTTAAAGTTACTGAGTTGAGGAACACTGGTTTAGAGGGCCTACTATACATGTAACATCCCTCTAATTTACAATTTTCTGAGCATTGATAGAGGTACCTCATAGACTATCTCTGATATGAATTATACCACTTGGGAACAGTCCTGAAACTAGTTATATTATTCCTGGGTTTTAGAAAGAATAATCATATTTCAACCTGGAAGAAAAGATCACAGTTTTTAATTTTAATTCTTAATGCTGCTCTCCGTCTATTTACCATCTTGACATTATTTGAAAAATAATAATAATGCTTTTATAACATCATCAGCAAAAAAAAAACCTGGCTCTCTCCTTCTGTTTTGCTAACGTTATCTGTTCCTGGATACACAGCCTTATAATAATTGCTTTTTATCAAAATGCTAGCACTGAATTCATATGGATGTCGGTGTTTTTGACAGCATGTCTCAGAATGATGGCATACGTCTCTTTAATATTAAGAAAAGGCTTAACATTAAGCCAAGAGTGTTACTTTTTTTAATAGTGTCTCCAGCTCCAGCTCATGCAAAGCTGAAAGCTACAGCCTTCTACTGCCCTCATGTGGTTTTATTTTTTGTTTCCTGGGTTTGTTCAATACGGTAGAACAGAGCAAGGAGCAAAACGCGGAGAAAAGTCTTTGCTGCTGAAGAACAACCGTAGATAGGCAGCATTGCCAACACAGAGACAGAAGGAGCAAACTACTGGAGTAAGACAACCATTATCATAAATGGGTAAGTTATTTCAACCTCCTGCCTTCATTAGTCATGATGAGTGGGAAGAGTCTAGCTTTGCTATATCAGCTTTCTTCCTATAGTGATACTTTCTTCTGTATAGTGATACAGAGACCAGAAGCTCTTGCATTGCTTCAAAGGATTCTGGGACATAACTTAGGACAGGAATGCACAACCTTCTTCAGGTTGTAACCATACTTGGATTCTCAATGGCAGGCCAGTGAATACATTCTAAAAATGAATGAGACTCGGATGCAGAAATGAGCAGGCTAAAACAGTGGTTGTCAAACCTGGCAATCCCACAAAAGGTTCTTACAACTTGGTTCCAAAGTACAGAGACCTCCTTTCCCCATGACCGCAATTTACATTATTTTTTTTCAAAAACTGGCGTTGATTTCCAGTTTTCAGTAACATCCTACACATAGCAAACAATTTATTTATTTGTATCTCAGCTTTATTATTTTTAGAAATAACTCAAGGCAGTAAACATATCCAGCACACTTCCTCTTATTTTCCCCATAACAACAAACCGGTGAGGTGAGGTGTGCTGAGAAAGAAGGACTGGTCATGGCTAAGGAGGGACCTGAACTCACTGTCTCCTGCTTTCCAGCCCAGTGCTCTTTAACCACTAAACCAAATTGGGTCTCTGGTTTGCTTAATCACCACCACACTCACTTAATTACTGTAAAAAAATAAAAGTCATATAATTGAGTTGATCATATGATGATCCACTTTATGAACATTATAATTTACAGCCATAATGGGCAGCCTCCATTACAGTCATAGGGACACGGTGGCTCAATGTCTAAGATGCTGAGGTTGTCGATCGGAAAGTTCGGTGGTTTGAATCCCTAGCACCACGTAATGAAGAGAGCTCCCGTTACTTGTCCCAGATTCTGCCATCCTAGCAATTAGAAAGCATGTAAAAATGCAAGTAGAAAAATAGGGACCATTTTGGTGGGAAGGTAACAGTGTTCCATGCACCTTCAAGTGTTTAGTCATGCCGGCCACATGACCACAGAGACGTCTTCGGACAGCACTGGCTCTTTGGCTTAGAAACAGATGAGCATCGCCCCCTAGAACCAGAAAGACTGGCATGTATGTGCGAGAGGAACCTTTACCTTTACCATTATAGTCATAAGTCAAAGACTGTAATTTTCTTTTATTAAATGAACAATATTTCCATTTGATATCAGCTTTTGGAAAGCTGCTGGGGTTTTTGAAAGGTCTTGACAATTTTGGAGAGCTGCTTCCAGTTCTAGGGCTATAAACTCTGCATTCAATACTAAAATGTACTGCTGCTGTTTTTTTCTTTTGTTTTGTTGTTATGTTATGGTGAGGTTCTTTTTTGTTTCATTTTTATGGTCTTTTATGGTCACATTGTCCTAGTAGGGGACTAGAAATCTTTTAAACATCAAACTGGAACTCAAAATAAATTATTTGAGCTGAACAACTCCCCTGTTGCTGCATATAATTAAAAGATGCATCCTAACAGAAACAAATAATAATAATTCCTCTAAGCTGTAGAATGTTCATATTCCCCCCGAAAACTCTCTGAAAGCAAGGTTAAAACATGCTTGCTCTGTGAACATGCCATACCTGAAGATAATATTTCCAGCACGATCAGACTTCCAGGCCTTTACTAACGCAAAATCTCCGGTAATTGATTTCTCCATAATGTAATGCCGACCGTCAAATTCCCTCACCTTTAAAAAAAAAAGGTGGGGGGGGGGATTTTTAAGAAATGTTGAAAAGTTTTGTTCTATTTAAATTATGAGCTAACCCTACAATTTAACACGATCACTTTGCGCAGAAATGAAATGGAGTGAAAATACCATTGGCGGCAATGAAAATTGGAAATCAAATGTGCACACTGAATAAAATCAGGAGCACAATATGATCTGAAGAATGGATTTATACAGTCTGCTTAATATATTGTTCTAAGTTGGGACTTATTCCGCTTTGTTTTCCTGCACAGGCCTCAAAATCACACTATCATATTACAGGCAAAGTGTATTATGTCCTGAATCTGCCCTAACTTTCAAAAGTTTCAGAAAGGCTTGTGCCCTCCCCCCTCATTCACAACCTCATTCAAATCCACAAGTATTTTACCTCTCTTGGCTCACTAGCCAGGGCAACAGTGCCGTCTTTGTTGTATTTGATTGGAGACCCTCCTTCTTGCACCAATGTCCCATACCCCGTACTGGTGAAGAAAGCTGGGATGCCAGCTCCTCCTGCTCGGATCCGCTCAGCAAGGGTACCCTAGAAAGAACAAAAGGCTTAATGGCTGGCAAGACAAGACAAATGTAAAGGAGGCTTGTAACTCATAATAGTACATCAATTCTTTGACAAAAGTTGTTAAGGGACCTTTTCTTCTTTTCTAAGTCCACTGAGATGACTCCAGAATACTGCAAGAGGATTTCCATAGAATACTCATTCCTAAGGAATGTGGAACAGAGGTATTCAAGCTTTCTAACTTTTAATATTAGTTTATTAGGTAAAGGTAAAGATTCCCCTCACACATACGTGCTGGTCGTTTCCAGCTCTAGGGGGCGGTGCTCATCTCTGTTACAAAGCCGAAGAGCCAGCGCTGTCCGAAGACATCTCTGTGGTCATGTGGCTGGCATGACAAAACGCTGAAGGCGCATGGAACGTTGTTACCTTCCCACAAAAGTGGTCCCTATTTTTTTACTTGCATTTGTACATGCTTTTGAATTGCTAGGTTGGCAGAACCTGGGACAAAGCAACAGGAGCTCACGACGCAATAATAAAATAAGGTCAATGATCAGCAGGGCATCTTAATGTTATCAATATTTCATTTCTTAATCATCTGGCATGTACTTTCCAAACTTTTCTTCATATTTTACAGTTCCTCAAAAATATTTAGAAAAATCTATTTCCCCAACTGTATTTATTACAGATTTTTTTTTCAGGTAAATATGGCTTCTTTGCCATGCTAATTACAGCACATTTCAACTGTGCTACTTCATCTTATAGGAATATTCCCAGAATCTGAACATTTGGAGGAGAAGGCAGCCAGAGCTTGTCAGGCTGTGGTTAATTTATTTACTCAGTGTGGTTGAGCTAAGAAAAGATTAACTTACGAAGTATAAAATGAGCTACTTGTATTCTTAACATGGAAAGGGAAAGTATGGCTGGCAGGCAAGCAGTCATCTTTTTCAAAAAAAACTAGTTTAAACGTGCATGAAGAATGGAGTGCAGTTCAGTCAAGCACAACATTGCAAATACTTAATGCATTTTTAAAAAGTGACTGCCAATGCAAAATGCAATTAAAAACACCTCCTACCTCTCCTACTCTTAACTAGTGGTACGTGACTATCTATGTTTTCTTACTAGTATGTTAATACTGTGTTATAATTATTGTAGTGTGTCTGTAGCCTGGGGCTCCAACATAAATCAGGTTTTAGGGTTGGTTCTCAATCTGGCCAAAGAAGGATGTAGTCCAGTTTCCTGATTCTTATGGTGCAATTGAATACACTCCCAAGATGCACATTGCCAGAAATGAGGAAAGCTGTCTGATCTTACAGCTTGCAACAGACAAAAAAGGGCAGTGCAATACAGTAGTTACGCAACCAACATTTCAGGTTCTAGTGTGGAAATCCTGCAACTGGAACGGAAACCAAAGATTGATACCAATAATTTTAAGGAGCCTTCCTCCAAAGAAGAGGCAATTAAAACATTTTACCTGTGGGGTAAGCTCAACTTCCAGTTCACCACATAAATATTGTCGCTCAAATTCTGCATTTTCTCCAACATAGGATGACACCATACGCTTGATCTGTTTGGTCTGAAGCAGAAGTCCAAGCCCAAAGTTGTCTACTCTGCAGAAAAAACAGGGTTAAGGTTGAGAATTAAGTGACGGAAAATTTAGATTATGCCTAGAATATTGTGACCAATATACAAATTAAAAAAAAAAAAGAGTCACACTGAGCCACAATTTAGTTTAATTGCAATCTGTCAAATAAACTACAACTGGGTGGCTTGTATAGTACAGCCTTTTCAGGGTGTAGCAAAAAAAAAAAAAAAGTAATATTTTGGAGGAAGACTAGAGAACACGGAAAGTAAACCTCAGTAGCCAGGAACAAGAGACAACAGCATTATTGCATAAATTGTTCTGATAAACTGAGGAATGGAAAGAGCATTTTCCTCAAAATCAGAAAGAGGGGCACATTACAAAAGTATTTTACCAGGAAATTATCTAAATCTGTAAGGATGAAGTTTTGAAAGCTAACATTCAGAATGAGGTGAGCCTTACAATAAATGCTGCAAATAACAAACAATTATTTATATATGAGTGGAACATGAAGAAGATCAAGGAAGTTTGAGTCTGTTGGTTGGAGAAGAAAGAGAGGCAGCAGGGAGAAGCCTGACATGCTTAGCTCCTATTTTGCACCTGTCTTTTCACAAAGGGAAAAGACCAGAAGCCACACCAAGAAGAAAAATGCAGATTACATTTGGTCAGTGTAATCTGCGCTGAATTCAAATTTGCTGCGTTGAATTCCTTTCCTATCTCAAAATATGGGGAAATATGCCATCACTTTTCAGCAACTATAGTCAGAAGAAGCTCTGAGGTCTGCAAGAATGTATCTTCAATCTTAGTTTATAAAACATGGTTTGTGATATGGATTATAATGGGCATGCATTCTATGGACACATAGGAACAAATCATATTTGCGCACCATTCAAGAGACAATAAAAAAGCTAAGAAGGAAACAAAAAGAGCAGAACACATCTTCTCCAGCAACCAACATTCCACATAAGCAGGGATTAACACCAGACAAACAATCAAGCAGAAAGTAATATCGTAATCAAGGAGAAAAGTACACCTCCATCAACACTAGCAGAGCAAGCTACTTTTCTAAAAAATAAAGAACAAACCACACACTCACACTGATGTTATCTAGTTGAGTAATGAAACATCTGCAAATAAACAAGCACAGAGATCACCAAGGATTCTACAGATGAACCCTGAGCCACATACCTTCTCTTCTATTGATTTTATAATTTTCCAGAATATTCCACTATTCAGAGTTTATTATATACTGTACATTGGTTTAACCTGTCTCCAACACATAAAAGCTTGTTTCACCTCAGACTCTGTACATACTTCTATAATATTAAAGGGGATGGGATGAATGTTCAGAAATTTTAACCTTTCTCGATCATGTGTTTTTTTAGCATAGCTTATAACTTGAAATGTAGAAATACTGGGTAATTCACAATTTCTATATTTCAAAAACAAAACTAAATTCAAGTGGGTACTCTGGGTACTCTGAGGTATGATAAACCGTTTTCATAAGCTTCTGATTTGTTTCCAGAATAAAAACAAAAGCTATAACAACACTGTTTTGGGACCACAGTATCTGCAAGCGAAAGAGATTCAATTGGTTTAGCATCAAGTTAGAATTCAAAATTTAGCATCAAGTTAGAATTCAAAAATCTCGGCATTCTATTTCAGCCTTAAGCATGAAAGCTGGCTGGATAACTTTGGGCCAGTTGTTCTCTCTCAGCTCACAATCTCGTCCTCAAGCAACAAGCCAGTTAATCGACCAATGGACCAATACTTGGTTGATTGGGGGGGAAAGAAGACTCTGCACTTGTGAGAAAAATGCTAGGAACAAAAATAAAGTATCTGAAAGTAAGCATTTTCCCCGAAGACTCGTTCAATCCACTCTCCTGAATATTTAAAAGGAAGCTGTCAACTTAGATTTGTTGAAAACATAGCAATGGAAACAGATCATTTTTCTCTGTGGAATCATTCCTTCTTAATGGACGATTACCTTCAAAAAAAGGGGTTCATCCCTCTTTCTAGTAAAGATAACAATTGCTGCTATTTATGTGTTCATTGTTTTTAAATGTTTAATCTTATTTACTGCAATACACTTTCTCCTAAGAACTCTAAATAACGGCAACTGGTATGTTGTATAAATAAGGAAACCAAGTGGTCCCTCTAAGCTCCTGCTGCCATTTTGAAGGATCCTTTGGCCACAAAACAGCCAAATGGCATTAGCCTACAGATGTTCCTCAACCTAGGATGATAGTTGGGACCAGAATTTACATTGCTTGGCAAGGCAGTTGTCAACTGTATTGGGCCTGATTTTTATCACCCTTTTTCCCCATGGTTAAGTGAATTGCTGTAATTGTTAGCTAAAATGCATCATTAAGCAAGTCTGCCCTCCTGCATTGACTTTGCTTGACAGAGGCCAGTTGGGGAAGTCACAAATGGTGATCACATATCCCAGGACACTGCAAACATGATAAATACAGTACATTCTGGTTGCCAAGTGCCCAAATTTTGATCATATGACTGTTTAGATCAATGGTTGCCAACCAGTGAGCAGGGACCACTGGTGGTCTGTGAGAAAATTTTGGTGGTCCGCAGAGAAATGTCACCCCCAAAAGCAATTAATCCAGGCTGCACGGGAACACAAGGCTGAGCCACACAAGGCTTGCGTCACTTGCATTGCGAACAATATGAGGTAGTGAGGGGAGGGGGGAAAGGGCAGAGGTAGGGAACTTGCCCCACTTGTCCAACGCACTTGGCCTGGCCACCGGGCAGCTTCTTTCTTCTTCTGCTTTTGGCTGCACGCAAGGAAAGCAGCAAAAGTCTTTCTTTGTCTCTCCCAAACTCCACCAGAAATGAGTCTTTGGGACCCTGCAAGGCATCCTGCTCCAAGAGGCTGCGCCAGTGTGACTAGTCTCACAAAGACTCATTTCTGGCTGAGTTTGTGGGAGAGAAAGAAAGACTTCTGCTGCATTCCTTGCATGAAGTCAAAAGTTTCTCTTTCTCTCTCTCTCTCCCCTGAAAACGGAGCTGGAGACAGTATCCTGCGATCCCAAATAAAGAATGTTCAATCGGTAGGAAAATGGGGTGGGGAGTTTTCCTGTAGACTTTTTGGGGGATTTTCCCAGGGTCTCTGGTCCGTGGGATTTAAAATTATGAGTTTGGTGGTCCCTGAGGTCCAAAAGGTTGGCGACCCCTGGTTTAATTGCTGCAACATTTGCAAGGGCAAAGACCAATTATAAGTGGGTTTTTTAAAATGTGTTGTAAGTTTGAATGGTTGCTAAATGAATAGCTATAAGTCAAGGGCTATCTGTGCTTGTACATGGGAAACGCTTGCTTGTTAATTAGATTTACTCAGTTAATAAGTTATCACTTTCGTTAACCTTCTGCTATTAATGGGTTTGTTCTAAGTTTGTGTATATCTTAGAAATAATGCCTTGAAAGAGTGATATGGATAAGGAAGTCTGATTTTACCCTGGAATACAGTGAATGTACCATTATCTATTTCTGACTTGATTACTTAACACTAAAGATGGGATTTTAAGGATTAAAATGGGGAAGATGCAGTGGGGTGGTAGTGAAGCTTATTTTCTTGCCACATGATTTCCATGTAGATTGTTGAAGCCGGCCTTCTGCATTGTAATGCCTTCCAGATGTCATGAACCTGTAATTACAGACAGCCCTCAGCTTATAACCAAAACTGAGCCCAAGGTATTTATTGAGTGAGTTTTGCCTCATTTTATAATCTTTCTTGCCACATTTGTTAAGTGAAGTTTTTAAGTTAGTAACACAGTTGCTAAGTGAATCTGGTGTCAGGGCTCTGACAATCCATCCCCATTCAAATCATAAAACTCTAGCTGCATCCCTCAGAGTTTAAAAAAATCATTTATTAGGAGTGAACATGTCGGTGTTACCTGGATACAGCTGATACTGAAACACATCATTCATCTCACCCTTGACTCTAGTCTTCCCCCACCCCCTGGATGTATATTCTCCAATGGGACACATCCATAGCCAAGAGTCATCAATCACGCTCTCTAGTAATAATCTTGTGCGCCAGAAGCTTTGGCCCCCTAGCAATTATCTATGAAAATATTTAAGGTATGCATTACTTCCCCCATTCCCTTTCTGCTGACAACTCTAAAAGACCAGAGAAATATTTTTGAGTTGACATCTGGCTTTCCCATTGACTTTGCTTGTCAGAAGGTTGCAAAAGCTGGTCACATGCCCCCGGGATACCAAAACTGTCATAAATATAAGTCAGTTACCAAGCATCTGGATTTTGATCACTTGACCATGGGGATGCTGCAACCATCATGAGAAATGGTCATAAATTGTTTTTTTCAGTGCTGTTGTAACTTTGAACAATCACTACATGAATTGTTGTAAGTCAAGGACTACCTGTATATCATCAGAAGTAAGACAGGGCTAAGCACCTATCTAACTATCAGCCACTGTATATTCGTGTGGAACAGGTGGTTGAATGTAAGTTTCTCGGGACCATCATTACAAATGACCTGACTTGGAGCGCAAACACCGCTGCTTTAATTAAGAAGGCACAACAACGGTTGTATTTACTAAGGATTCTTAGGAAACAACAACTGGCTGAGAGTCTACTGACTACCTTCTATCGGAGTTCAATTGAGAGTATATTATACTACTGTCTCTGTGTATGGTTTTCGAGCTGCACAGTGGCAGAGAAAAGGGCAATTCAGAGGGTGATCAAGACGGCCCAAAACATCATTGGCTGCTCACTCCCCTCTTTGGAAGAACTGTATAGGAATAGATGTAAGAGGAAGATACTTAATATATTGAATGACTCCTCTCATCCGGGACATCAGCTCTTTGAACTATTACCATCGAGAAGGAGATTTAGGGTATTAAGAACAAGGACGACCAGATTTAAGAACAGTTTTTATCCAAGTGCAGTTTTGAGTTTGAATGCAGGGTCATAAGATTTTTGTGGAATTTAAATGGCTGAGAGTAATGGGGTATTTACATTTTTAAATTGCATAGAGATTATTGTATGGTTGGTTG